TCAGTCCATTTTACAGCTGTCATTGTTTCACATTTAAAAACTCATGCTTTCCCTCTGTGGGAAATACAGTCTGCTTTTCCTGCATGTCCCAAAAGCATAGGTTCCAACAGCCAGTAATTTGTCAAATAAACAAGGGGAAGTGTAAAAGTTGTCTATTGAAACCAAGTGTTCTAGTCTATTGTACTCCATCAGTTCCATCACAAAGATATCTGTTAGACCTTTAGCTGGAATTCCTCTCAATTTGTCTGTGTAGATGTTAAAGTTCTGGTATTAGTGGTACGTTGTGTGATATATCTGGCCTGGGTAATTCAGGAACATCCTCATCTGATGAGGGTCATTCCACAGCTACATCTTTATCTGTTCATAAGACAGATTCAAGAAGATCTAGTTCAGTATTTTTTGACCATCAAGTTTTGTAAACAGATTCTGCCACATGCATTGAAAGAGAAGCATTAATTACTTCAGCGATTCCTCTGATAGAAAGCCTTCTTCATCAGATAAGAATGAAACATTCACAATAAACTCCAACTCTTCCTGTGTGAGAAATTCCTTCTTTCCATAATTTCTTTTGCTTTTTCTGTGTTAGATAAAACTTTTTTGAAGAAAAAAACATGTATGTTACAATATTTTCTGAGTTGTGCATCTTAAGACTTCAGAAACAGTACTATACTAATACAACTGAATAGCAATTTCATATATATATTATATTATATAATGATTACTTACTTACAAATAATAGTTGTTATACACTTGTTTCTCCTCTGCTCTGTCAGTGACTAACTTTTGATTTTATGCACCAAAATGTTGTAGAGAAATTTCTAGATTTTACAAGGCTGAAAGACAAATATGAAATGCTAGCTCAACCAAAGCAGACCACTTTTATATTACTGTAAGCTATATGTTTATTGGCTGATGTATAAGCAAGGTCAGATAAAAAATAGCATATTTATAAACACACACCCAAATAACTTTATATATACAAAGCTATATCATAAATTTTTGTCTCATTGGAAGCACTGTAGTTCAAACAAGCCAATAAATTATCCAATATGTTGCAAGCCAAGGGAGTTATGATAATCTGTGTAAAACCAGAAATTACATCAGAACGTGCTTGTTCCAGGCTGAAGGGAATACTTCCAGTTGTGCCAGAAACGTCTGATTATTGCTTCACTCATGTATATTACATTTCTCATAAGCTGTATAATGACATGAATGGTAATTGACTGTCTTATGGTCAGTGGATTTCTGCTGAAGGGAATACTTCCAGTTGTGTTGGAAATGTCTGATTATTGCTTCATGCATGTACATTACATTTTCCATAAGCTGTATAATGACATGACTGGTAATTGATTGTCTTATGGTCAGTGGATTTCTGCTGAAGGGAATATTTCCAGTTGTGTTGGAAATGTCTGATTATTGCTTCTTGTATGTACATTACATTTCCCATAAGCTGTATAATGACATGAATGGTAATTGTCTTATGGTCAGCAGATTTCTGCTTCAGTTGCCAGCAGTATAATAAACACAGGAAACAGATATGAAAAGGTTAGAAGTAGAAACTCTCTAGATAAATACTTTGGAACTTCGTGGTCAATAATGAAAAGGAAAGAGCAGTATTACTAATGCTACTGAAACTTTTCTTTTGACAGTACTTTGATGACTTGTCTAAAGGCTGGAGAATCAAGTATAATGTTATGGTAAAAACAATTAGAGATAAAATATGAAGTTTTACCAAAAAACAATTTTTGTTACTGATTTAGGAGGTTCTAGAGATTATTGGAATAAAATACGAAAATTATAAAATAAAGAGAAGTATTTTTAACATTAGTATGAAAATCACCTTTCACCCAGATTGACTCAATAAAAATATTGTAATTTCACAGGCAAATATTTTGTAAAAATAATTAATAAGAAATATTTTTTTGTGTATGATATACATTTATTATTTACTAAGAGCTTGCCAAATTTTGTGAAGATACATTAAGTACTTTTAGAGTTATAGTATGCATACCTTCATAATATCATGGTAGTTAGGAGGTTGCATAAAATACATAAGCTCATTGAGATACAGTTAAGAATACTTGCTACTCAAGGGGAGGGATGTATCTTCCAAACTTGGATCAAATTCACTCAAAAGAGATGATGCAGTAATAATAGATAAAATAATGGCTCCCATGTTTTTAACAATATAAATGGAAAAATGGCAATGTTCAAGTTCAATTTGTTTATAGGAATAATGTAACACTGTATTCAAAATTTAATTAAGATCAGTTTCAAAGTTCTCATGTAATGAAGACACCGTATATAAGTTTTTCAAATCACTTACTGGTATAATGGGGCAATTCTCATTACTTAAAACTTGATTTTGGGCTAGTTTCTGTTCAACAAGGATAATCAGTGGAGCTTTCATATTCAAACTAAGCCATACAAATACTTAAAACAACTTGTTCATTATATTTAAGCTACATCTAATGCATCACTACATAAGAAAGATACCTACCTCAAAAGTCAATTAAGGTCCAAGTCACAGTTCCTTGACACTTTGAAGGTCTATGTAGACCTTATGGATTTATTATAGGAATGCCTTACATTTTGTGAAATGCTTCCTCATTAAGTTCCATTGTTTTCATTTGCAAATCACGTGCGGGATTATGAAAAGTCTTCACTTGTGATAAGTAATTGATCAATTGATTCACATAGTGACTTTAAGTTTTATGTTTAAAGAAATGTTCATGCTTTTATAAATAATTATTAATCAATTATTTTTGTTTTTCTTCTAGAATTTTCAAACTGATCCTTTTAATGGGGGTGGGAAAACCTATATTCTAGACCTTTTTGAATTATAAGTAACTTTTGATCAAAGCAAGCTATCTATATAGATCAGTGAATAATGGAGCTATATTAATACATAAGTCTAACTAAGAGAATGTAATATCATAAGTTTGGTCTGTTTTGAATTTCATGCAAAGCTACATGAGGGCTCTTTGCACCAGCTGTCTCTAATTTAGCAGTGAAAGATTAGAGGGAAGGCAGCTAGTCATAACCATCCACTGATAATTCACGGCTGAAAGGGCGAACATGTTTGGTGTGATGGGGATTTGAACCTGCAACTCTCAGATTGTGAGTCAAGTGCTCTTACCACCTGGTCATGCCAGGTCTAATATCATAAGACAAAAACTTATAATGATAAGAATGCATTGAATCATCACATGGGTGCCCTAACTGTTATCAGTATTTTTGGCTATAATCTCAACATCATCTCATGGGGTTTATCCAACTTAAACAGATTTAAGTTAGTCTAAAGTCTAAACACTATGCAATCGATATAAAACAATTATGATATTCAATAAAAAATAATAAAAATATACTATGTACATTAATCAGTTAACCAATGCTGTTGATGAAAAATGGAGATTATCACAAAATACAAAACTAGTATAAATGGGACAGCTCATGGAATAAAGTTTGAAAATGTTAAATAAGATTAAAATTACTTCCAAGATAATACATAATGCAATCTGTTGTGAAATATATAGCATAGCTTAAACATTAACATACAATAATTTCAGTGAAACATTAAAAACTTACTATGTGTACTGATTATTAATATTGGGATGCGAGTGTTTTAGTTTTTCACCGGCTACTTTAACCTGTTGGCATAAAAACTTCGAAATTGGCACATATCTATTTCCATTCTCCCTAAGTTATTCATATTTATGGTAGAATGGTACATTATTCAGAAAATTTTATACAAAATTTACTGGCTACTTCGAATGTAACTTGAATAAATAAATGTCATTCACAATGGAGAAACAAATTTATTATTGTTGCAATTATACAGGCAATTAATGTTAGTAGTTGCTTAATATAAAACAAATTACAGTGCTGTCAAATAGTTCCTTTGCATATTATCTTTATAAGTTAAATTAAAATTATTTTTTCACACTAAATATAATCATTTTTGTTCAATAGTTTACAAGTATTGTTAACCACTACTATAGAACTGTCTTCACTTTATTTTAGTTTTCATTAAAATGTTTGACTTATCCCATTTAGAAGCTATTCATAAAGGTGTAAAATGTGAATACTTATGAGAATGCCTCAAAATTCTTTTTCTTTATCTGTGTGTTAAATACATGAACTGAACTGGCTGTGAATTACAAAATAAAATAAGTCACACTGAGGTGAACTTCACTTGGCACTATCCAAACTTGTAATTACTTTATTTGAATATTTCTTTCCTCCCTGAACTTATTTGTTAAAACAGTTGTTGTTTGTACCAATGATTTAAAATATTAAAATTCTTATAATAGGTCTGAAAATTACTTCACAATTTCTCAATAGTGAAAATAATTTTCATAACTCTTAATTGCTGAATAAGCTTCTTATTAAGATATACATATTTCATTTCAGAAAGTCAAACTTCAATCATTCAGGTACGATTTGTTTAAGATTTCCAAGTTCTCTTACATTGTAATTATACATCTTAACCTGTGAAATAACAGTTTTTTTTGTTGTTTTTTTTAAGTTTATCTGTACATTAGTAACTAGCCATTTAACTATGCTACAACATCCACTGAATAATTTGTGCAGTGTTTTACATTAATAAAAGAAGAAATTTATGCTAGAGAAGTTTGAACAATATTAACTGACAAGATATTGGTACATACAACCCCCAGTATATAAACACAATTTTGAACATAGCCCATGAAAATAGCAGTATTTCTTAAATTCTGTAGGCTTGTTGAGTGATCTCATAAGTTAGACTAGTTGAAAGAAGTTATGGCTTGATAATCTTTCTTATTCAAATAATTCTTAACACATAATCCATTTTAATTAGCTTTTCATATTTTCATGATTATCAGTTATTTACACAAAAAAATAACTTGAGTATTCAAGAATGAAGTGTCTTAAAGAATCAAGAACAAAAGATGTTAATGGTTTAATTGCAAAACTTTTAGAAGCTTATAAATGTGAGTGACATATACAATAAGCCTTACCTTAATGCATCCTCTTTGCAGGACCGCTGTGGAGCAAAGCAAGCAATGGCCCAAACCCTTATCTCCATTCCAGTATGAAACTGCTTCCCCCGCATGTCCCAGACACCCTGGTTAGGAACTGCTTGTTGCTTGGTCTTAAAGAAGATAAAAAGATAATGACTCACTGGACACTATATCATGAACCTACTTACAGACTTTCCAAATCAATACTTTCACCAAGATACACAAATTGAAAATTAATCATTATATCGTTTATTGCATCTTATAGTACGAGGGTGGCCTATTAGAAACTTTTTCATTTAAAAAACAACATGAACTATTATTACATGAAACAAGATGTTATGAAAATAATAAAAATAATTCTATTACCTCCAAAACTAGGATAATATCAGTCAGCTCAATTCAACTCACTTTCCAAAAAACAAAAGGTAATAAGCCTTGAGAGAAACAGAAAAAACTAGCATGCTGATGAATGAAAAAATTATATCATTTCTAATTAGTGATAATAAATATCAATATATATGTTTTGTTTCAAAAATTTCAATTATGTAATGAACAAACACAAAAAGTCAATAAAGTAATCAAATCTCCTTCTCTACGAATGTGACTTTTAAAAAGTTTTTGTACAGAAGCGGGAACTTATTAATAATAAAAAAAAACAGTAAAAGGTAAGACCAAAATAATAGCATGAAGTAAAATTTCACTGTTGTCAAATAAGTTTCTTTTCATGACTGATAACATGACTGTTAGTAGCTAGAAGAACACAAATTAAGGGAATAAATGCTGAAAATGAGTGTAATTGTACAAAAAAGTTTCAAACTTAATTGCCAAATACAGCTTAAACTAAAACAAAAGAATATTACATGTTTCTTTGAATACAAGTCTAGAAACATGAAACAAATATCAATCCTTCCAGAGCTACACAGGAAACTTCAAGTGCCCTTAGGTAATGTATACAATAAAAACACAAGATAAGTTAGAATATCCAGAGTTTCGGCAAATGTTTCTAGAGAGATAGTCACTAAATTCAGAGGTCATGAATAATTGTTTATTAAAACAGTATTTCACTTCTCTTTTTTTTTTTACTTTCTTATGCAAAAACTGTAAATGACCAGAACATTTTATATGATTTCATCAGAACATTTTAATAAAGTTATACCTGACTGTTAAAAGGCTAGCTTTTTATCTCCATTTGTGAACACAAGTATATTAAAACCCATGAACCTACTTACAGATTCTCCAAATCAATACTTTCACCAAGATACACAAATTGAAAATTAATCATTATATCTTTTATTGCATCTTATAGTTTGAGGGTGGCCTATCAAAAACTTTTTCATTTAAAAAACACCATGAACTATTATTACATGAAACAAGATGTTATGAAAATAATAATAATAATTCTATTACCCTCAAAACTAGGATAATATCAGTCAGCTCAATTCAACTCACTTTCCAAAATAATTACCCAATACTTAAATTTGTCATAAAGTGATGATGACAAATGGAATAGCAAAATTGTGCTATATGTACTTGGCTTTATAGGCAGCAAAATTATAATCTACATGAAAGTCAAAAACCAGGTTTACACTAAGGCAAAATTGTGAAGCCACTTTTTTCTTAATAAAATAAATAGATGACACAGCAATGGTACCAGAGATAAATACAGTCTTAATCATTCTTCTTGATATTAAGTAACTTCATTAAAAATTATACTTAATTTTTTTATTTATAAAATGCAATAAATATGCCTATAACATACAAACAAAATTCTAAGAGTGCCAAGACAAGGAGATAAAAATCTTGAGGAAGTTTATTAATATCAATAAAACTAAAAATTAAATTTTTTCATTAAAAAGTAGTAATTGTTGATATTAATTTCAGATAACAAGTACAATTACATGATACAATTGGTCCCAAGGGATGACTTAGTGTACTTTCTCTTGTACATGTATATTCAACTAAAACATTTAAAAATTCTGACACCTTTATGAATAAGGATTTTTTAAAGTTAACACAATGATTTTTTTTAAATTTTGAGCACTTTACATAGAAGTTAAAGAATCAATCCATCTATACACAGTATTAAGTAAGCAGTAAATCTTTTGATAATATTATAGCTAATGTATATGGAATAGCTTTGATTTGATTTAATAACTATAACTCAGGAAACAATAATTAAAGTAGAGAAGAAATACAGACATTGAAAAATCTTATTAAAGATGAAAATATTGTTACAATAAAGCTTGATAAAAGAAACATTAATATTATTTGGATAAATCAGGTTACTCAGATAAAGATGATATATCTTAAGAAATGTATCAAAACTTGTAAAACTCAGAGTCCTTTTAAAATTGTAGAAAATAAGTTATAAAACCACCTGCTGGAATCAAAAAAGGATAATTTTTATCACAAAAACAGAATTTTTAGATAAAAAATCATCATGGAGTTTGTTAGAGAGTTTCTATGACACATGTAGAAGAATGTCCTGTAAGATATATAATTGAATACTGGAGCCCATAAATAATAACTTTTTATTAGAGCTTTTAATTTTTTTAAACACACAAATACTTCAAAAGGCAGTTTTTAAACTATGAAGTGAAATTACAAACTTAAAAGTATGACAGCAATGGTCATGGTTCACTATGCTTGTTTGATGTAGTGTTTTTATACAATAATGCCCTTTTTGAAGAAAGCCTGCAGCTAAGTGCTGAACTAGTTTATAATGGGAGTGAAATGACACATAGTAGCTTTTAAAACATATGAATTTGGTATCAATGAGTCCCATTTTTACATTTGCTAAAATTTGTATAATGAAATAGGAGGTATAGCTCCTCTCCAACTAGCATTTTCTTTACTTTTGTAAAAATAATGGTTAAAGAAGAAAGTTTAGTGTTTTTTAAAACTCTGTCTTATTGAAAGTACTTAGATGATACTTTACCAAATTTAAAGAACCAGAAATATATCAAATTTAAAGAATCAGAACAAATTTTAAGCTTTAAGAATATCTTAAAAGTAAACACAACAAAATTGGTTTGGGAATTACACATCAGCTAAATTACCAGCTAGCATTTTTAAACACCTTAGTTCAAAACAACAATGGTAAATTTAAGAATAAAGTCTTCCATAAAACAAAACATTTAAAGGTCTATATTTGACTTTTTTCCAGGTTTCATACCAGTAATATAAAAAAATATATAATTAAGATTCTGGTACACAGTGTTTATAAAATCTCAAGCATCTATGAATTTCTGCACCAAGAGTTTGCTAATATGAAAGTATTATTTTGGGGAAAAATAGCTCTCGACTGGTGTGATTAATATTACAAATGGCTATCTAAACACAAAAAGAACCTACTAAGAAACATGAACTTTCAAAACTATCCATATCTATAGTGCTGCCTTATAATGGTGAACACCCTGTGCATGTAAAAAAAAACAGAGAGAAAGAAAGAAAACAAATTGAGAGAAACTTGCATATAGTGTTTACCTAGATATACACTAATGTATTTGATTTAAACATGTAACAAGGATGTAATTTACAATATTTTGTAGATATAACAACAAAACATCATTGTTTGAAACAACAAATGTAGTATAAAAATATTTATGTTCTTTTCATAAACTTGACAATATCAGTTCTATTGTGAAATGGTTACAGACCTACATAAACAAATAAGCAAACATTAAAATATCCATCAGACTAAGTGAACTGAGGTAAATGTGACATAGCTGTCCAGTTAAATTATTTCAAAATCCTACCTAGGATCAGCAATGAATGCAGTTTCCATATATAAGAGAGTCTACTTATTAACAGACAAAGGCTAAAAGTCAAGTAAGTCAGCTAAACAGTTATCTATAAGATCAGTTTTCTTGAAGCCTATTTCATTTAAGACAATTACAGTGATATATTAGCTGCTTCATATCATAATAAACCTTTACTAATGAAAGCTTACACATGCATTTGTAAATCACTATCAGTTATTCTTCAAAACAAAAACATTGTTACTAATAAATAGGTATCTGAAAATAAAAACTGCATTACCAGGAAAGCTGGGAAAGTGTACTATAATCTATATGAATTCAATAACTTAACAATAGTGAACACTATATGGAGTCTACAAGAAAAATAACCAGTTCATTAATTGTTTTTTAAAAAACTATATGGTTATATCAGAATAGAGCAGAACTTCAGCCAGTGAGGTAAAAGTTCAGTGTTAATGCATTAATATTTTGACATACATACACACACACTGACAGCCCCATCACCACAAAAATTGTAAGATATGAAGGAGTTGGGATATGATTGAGTGCAATAAAGTTTATGGACAGTTGGATAACATCAATTACAGTAACTTCCTTTGTAGAACAATGATATTCTCAGGTTAAACTGTTTTCTGCAAAGAGTATTAGGTGTGTATGCTTTATAATGTGAGGATATGCAGGTTCAATCATAAAGTAATACTGAATTTAACTAAACTAACTGAGTTTAATCTAAGTAATAAACAGACTGGATATGATGTGAAATTCAAAAATTAGAACAATCTTTATATATTAACAAGGACAAAAACATAATGTGTGTACCTATGTTGTACAAGGGACAGTCATCTTTTACTGGACTCGTGAACTGATCAACTTGCTTCCTTTCCTTAAGATGTCTTCCCATCAATCAACTCATTTCAGATCCGGTGGAAAACTGTTTAACCCTTTCATATGGGCATATTCCCAGCTTTTAACCATTTTGTGCTTATTATAATTTGCAAACTATAACTTTTAATACAATATGTGTATCTTCACAAAATTTGGCAGATTATCATTAGACGCAACAAGGCTTTTGTGCACAAAATATCAGATTTTTTAATTAAGTTTAATATTTTTTTAGTTGAAGATTTGCTCATACATATTTTCTTTTCAAATGTTAACAATCCCACATGCAAAGTAATTTCAATTCTAGATTCAAAATACTTTAATGCATCACAAAATTGTAAAATTTAATTTCCAAAATCTCTATAACCTCCTAATAAAATCCAGATAAATAATAAAGGTTTTTTGAGAAAAAAACTATATTTTATCTGTTAGTTTCTCTATCCATTCTTTGTATGGGTTTGGTCGATTTGACTATCCTTGTAACAACA